TTAAGTAACATTTTGAATTCAGGGCTTTTACTTGGAGCATTTTTTTGATTTGATTTGATTTATTTCGAACGTGTAAAACAATAATACATCCATCCATCCCTCTTCTCCCGCTTATCCGTGGTCGGGTCGCAGAGGTAGCAGTTCCAGCAGAGAGCCCCAAACTTAATACAACAAAATAATAATGAAATGAAATATAAGAATGATGATACTGTACAAACTTAAGTAGTATCAAATTGATAAACAAACTATTGACTTTTATATAATTTTAAGGCCATAGTATTTTCTACTTTAACTTAAAGTGGACCTATCATGCAAAATGCACTTTTGTACGTCTTTTCTACATGAATATGTGTCCCCGGTGTTCCAGGGAACTCACCAAGTGTCAGAAAACACAACCCTCTCTATTTTCCTCCATACCCAAATCTCTAAAAAAGGGGCTGCAACGGATCTGATAAAAACTGATCCAGATTTGAACACTGTCCTGACGTCAGGACGGTGGCGCTACGGCTATTGGGCCAACTCCACCAATCAGGAGGAGACAGCCACGGACATTGCCGTTCGAAAGCGCTGGAGACGCTGTAGTACATATGCCAGGCCAGTAGATGGTGCTGTTCTCACTGAATCAGCCCTTGCTAAAACAGAGCTAAAAATTGTCAAATTGAGCGAAATGAGGCATGGCTAAAATGCATGGTCTGTTTGGTATTTTGAAAAAAAAAAAGTATAAATATGCCTTATATAGGTATGGTCCTACACTATATTATTCAAATATAGCATGATAGGTCCACTTTAAGTAAACGAGTACTTCTCAAACAATGTCTGCTTAATTTAAAATACATATATTCTGGTGTCTTTAATTCGTCCTTCTCCTCTCATCACATCTCTTCCAGTACTCTCTATCTCTTATTTCCTATGACATGTGAGTGAAAGCGGGAGGAATGGGAGAGACGGGGGAGACGGAGGAGATGGTTTCTTATGGTTGAGTAACTTCTCCGAGTCCTCGGATGCACGCTCTCCTTTTTTTGGGAGAATAATGATCGGAAAGAGAGAGAGGAGGAGAGGCGAGGAGAAACATGGAGGAGAGTTTGAGAAGAAAAGTAGCAAAGAAAGAAGAAATATCGTAAACATATCAGTGTATCAGAGGTAGAAGAAGTAGTTAGATCTTTTATTGAATTGAAAATTGCAATACATACTATACTAGGACTTTTTCAAATTTGAGACACACTTTATATATATTTTCCTACATTAAAAAACGTCTAAAAGTACGAGTATTAGCATCAAAATACTCCCGTAAGTACAATTTCAGTACAATATGTGTACTTTTACATGGAAATACTCAAGTAAATGACATGATTACATGCATCAAAATGTACCTGAAGTACAATAAGTACTCATTCTGCACCGCGGCTTATTTCAAAATAGTACCATCAGTTTTAAAAATACGTAATAGTAAAAGTACTTGTTATGCAGAAGGGCTCTTATGACAGTATTATTTTCTCATGTGTGTTATACTGTTTTCATCCCAAACACATACATGTAATAGCGTTTAAATGTTTGTCAAAATGAATCAATGTTAGATACTTAAAATACTGTGATAGATAGAAGTACTGCATCATCAGCATATCATGTGTTTTTATATGTAAGAAGTAGCTAGTGTATATCAGTGTTAAATAACCCTAGTGGAGTAAAAAGTACTATTTGCCTCTGAAATGTAGTGAAGTAGAAGTATACATTAGCATATAATGGAAATACTCAGGTAATGTGTGTCAAATAGTATTTAACTAGTAGTTGAGTAAATGTACTACATTCAAATCAAACTAGTAGAAAATAAAGTGAAATATAAAAATCCTCCATGCTCGACGCAGACTGCAGTTTCCTCGCGGGAGATCTTATCAATGTCTCCCCGAGAAAACAGAACACACACTGATCTAGACCATCTTCATACAAAGGCACAATACACACACACACACACACACACACACACACACACACACACACACACGTTAACACACACTATCAGAAACCTGCTCTGTGACATTACATCTCTGCTGGGTGATCTCATTAAACAGAGACACCGACGGTGAGATGAAACCAGTGAGGCAGGGACTGTGTGTGTGTGTGTGTGTGTGTGTGTGTGTGTGTGTGTATGTGTGTGTGTGTGTGTGTGTGTGTGTGTGTGTGTGTGTGTGTGTGTGTGTGTGTGTGTGTGTGACACAGATCGAACATTTGTGCTTGTACATGGAGAAAGATGGGAGAGACAGGGATTAACAAGAATACTGAAGCATGCTGGGAACTGATGGAAGGATCCGTGTGTGTGTGTGCGTGCGTGTGTGTGTGTGTGTGTGTGTGTGTGTGTGTGTGTGTGTGTGTGTGCGTGTGTGTGTGTGTACAGCTCTATGAAACCAACTGTCACTTTGGGTTTTCAAAGTAAAATCAAAGAGTGAGAGAGGGATGAAATCTTCTGGAGCGAACGCTGAAATGAATCTCAGAGAGCTGTGAGAAGCTGACGGGCCTCAACACGTCTCTTTGTGATGGAAGAAAATAATAATGATATGTTTCTCTTTTATATAACCAGACACATCTAATCTAAAAACCAGCATACAGAACAGAGAGGGAACACTTTGCTGCGGCTACATGATGAAGATTATTTTGTTTATTAATTGTGTTGTCGTCACAAAAAGGCTTGTTTAGTTTCTCCAAAACCAAAATTAAGTCAGACTA